AGAGAAAAATTACCACATTACAACTACATCGTTGGCAGCATGGCATCGATGGTTGGATACATGTCTGAAGGTACATTTTCCTACTTCCGAGGAAAGATCGATCTATGCCGAAAAGAATTAGATTGAAAATTAATAACAAAATGTCTTCTTCTTCTCACCGACTTTAGGAATCGAAGCAATTTCATTTCCATTGATGAATGTCTTGCCGGAATTATTTCGCGAATTGTATGATCTAATGATGAATCGTAAATTGAACGAAGCCATAATTGTTCACAAAAAATTGTATAAACGTATTTGGGAATTGTTGCAAGTCGATTCGGATCTGCGAGTTAATATTGATATGATGTTGATATTGCGTCGTGAACTGGAGAAAATTGAACCAACAATTAAATTGGGCCCAATGCGCAGGCCACACTTGAGCATGAATCATTGGTTGTTGTAATCAATTGAATACATCAAACAAACCGGCGGGACCCATACATCTGCTAATGGTGTATGGAATAGATTAAAAGTGTAAAAATGTAAAAAAAAGAATCAAACGTAGTTGAGATGTAGAAAAAGCCTTTTTATGTCTGAATAAATGCAATTGAATCCGCAAAAAATCATTTTTTCTTTGTTTCACGAAATGTTTGTTTCACCCAAAAGTGAATGCTTTGCTATTTTATTTTCAAGGATATGTCTTTCTTTTGTAAATACTCTTCACTCCACGAAATTTTGGTATTTTTCATGGAATATCATCTGAATGCTCTAGAGAAGGGTGTTTGCAATTCAGTGTCAATAAACAATTAGTTGTTTGAATCGACCGCATTTTTCGACCATTTTTTCAATTGATTGCGAAGTTCTTCATTTGTGGAATTTAATTTGATTGAACGTTCGCGCTATAGAACATTCTTATGAAATCTAGACGTTTGTGTGTACTAAATTTAGCCAATGGAGGAAATACTGAAACTAAAAAATCAACACTTCAGCATGTGTGTAGGAAATTGAAGATGAACTCAGAGTATCAAATAGGATTAAGTGGAATGTGTGTGTGAGAGAGAACGACCAATCCAAATAGGGATTTGAAAGGGAGATCAATATGGTTTAGTGTAGTTTTGTTTATTTTACGGAATATACTTGTGAAATGTACTTGCGGTCAACTTCAGTTTCGTCATATATTTCACACATACCAACACAAACAATGATAGCCGCTTCGTGGACGAGAATGTGCGAATTTAGCTGATTCATCCATCGATCATGGACTGGGAACATGTATGAGTCATAAATAGACGGCAATTAGAAGAGGAAACACGTACAACTTTTGCTCTTAAATCTGATTACGTGTGCAATTGGCTTCTACACAAATAAATTGGAAGGTAAGTTTGAGAAACAAAATTGAATTTGACTGAATATAATTTGGAGAATTAAAAAACGGCATAATATTCATGGAAGATAGAAATAAATCGGAAGAAATTTGTTCGAAGCAAATAATAATTCAACTGTTTAGACAGTCTGAGAATAAACGCCATAGAAATAGTTGATGGGAGATTTATTAAAAGAGTTACACAATTTAATATCTAATTGCATGCCGTTTCTGAAAATTTGCATTTCTTTCGTTGCCAATCACTTATTGTATGAAAAATGTGTCCACTTGTTTCAATGGCGTCTACTCTTTTCTCCGAATTTTTCCATGACGTCATTCATATATGATGGACGCTTGGTAACACTCAACACACATTCACTCTTGTATGTGTATGTGAGTCAGTTATTGCGAGACATAAAGCATATCGGTGAGTGTTTTAAGCTTATTTGTTAAGGTTAGGTTCAGAAAATAAAATAAACTTGAAAAATTGCGTTGTTTGAAATCTACAGATTGATTTCAATTTATCATGCAAATTTTACAAAATCAACGAATGATATTTACACAAAATCATACTTTTTTATCTAATAATTTTATTACAAATTTGTTTTCGTTCTATAGCATCAAGAAACAATGAATCCGTATCGACATTGAATCCGTATCGAAACAAAGGAACCTTGGGTGGAAAGGCCAAAAAGCACAAATGCAAACGAAAGCAAAAAAAAGTGGAAATCAAACAAGAGCCGGATATAAGGCAAGAGCCAAGTGACGGCGCTTATTTGATTCAACACATGCCGTCATCGCCCCAAACCACAACGAATGCAATCATCAAATCGGAAAGCGAGAGCGATAGTGAGCTTGATATGGAAAGTAAGAGGAGTTATATAAAGAAAGAGGTCAAAAGCGAAGACGAGTGTTCGAAGAAGGAATGTGACGCTGCTAAGGATGGACATGGAATGACAAATGATGACCAGGTTGGTGAAAGCTCAAGTGCTTCAAAACGAAATTTGAATGGTGATCAGTACAAAAAACGACAAACAAAACGAAAGAAGTCAAAAGGCGCAAAGAATGGCAGCGTGGCTAAAACTTCAAAATCATCGAAGCATCAGAAGAAGCACAAATGCAATTTCTGTCACTATGTTGCATCGAAAAAATCAAATCTAACACATCATATTCGCAGCCACACCGGTGAAAAGCCGTTCGCATGTGAAATATGTGGTAAGGCTTTTACACGAAAGGATCATTTAAATAGGCATAAGAAAATCCATGCACCAAAACTTCCATTCTGTTGTTTAAAGTGTCAATTTTTTTTTTTTTGATCTCATTTCAAAATCAATTCATACAAACGTTGCTTAGCAGCAAATTATCAAAATCCGATTTTCTAATTTAGAAAAATATTTCTATGTCTAAAAAATAAAAACTTATATCAACCAACTCTTTATATCTTGAATTCCCGCTTCTTGAAAATTAATTTACAGAATAAGATATGAAACTTTTAACATCAAACAATTGGGAAAAGAAAATAATAAGAATATCGATGAATAAGAATATTGATGATAAGAATTTATGTCGATTGCGAAAATCGACAAAAATAAGTTCTTTCTAATTCCTTTCTATGTTTTTGAACAAAATAAATGAATCTATTTCCATGAAGAAATTAAAACTTAAGATTTTTTTATTTTTGCCAGTCTTATTGTTTTTTCTCATATCTACGAATTGATCTCCATAAGTACATCTCAGAAACAATAAAAACATAAACATATGAGATGTAGATCAAAACCAGTCATCGAATGATCAGTGATCACATCGAAATTACGACGATTCATAGTACCAAAACTCCCCATTCACCACAAATCTGGTTCAAAATATCGTTCTGTGTAATTGACAATTTTCATTCTTTATCAGAACATTCTTTCGCGGCATTTAAATTCAAATTGTTTGAAAGTTTGCGCTTTGACGCGTTGCATATGCTGCAGAAAGGATTTAATTGAAAGCAAATAGAGACAACAAGAGAGAGAGAGTAACCAAAACAAATACGAGTTTGAAGAGGAGAAGAAAGTGAACAATGATGATATACGATGTTTCAAATGTAGTGGTATAACTATTCTCACTGAAAAACAACGAAAAAGTATTGTGGTCAACTTCACCCTGTTACGTCAATTGCACAAACCAACACAAGCAACATTGTGTATGTCGTACGACACGTTGTTCTCAAATTTCGATGATTCATTGTATTGTGCGCAGTAATAACGGACACAGCAAGTTTTCGACCATTAAAAGAAGCATATATCTTTCTCTGAATACATTGTAAATTTCAACACGATCAAATTGAAAATTGGTCAGATTTGGAAAAGAAATTACCTAAAATACAACAAAATTCGGATAATTCAGATAGTGAGTGCATAAAATTCAATCAGAAATAGAAATAAGATACATTCACAGAGTAGAAATTAAGATTTAATTATGTTTTTTTTAAACAAAACTTGTCTTTTTTTGTGAATAACTTAGTTTGACATACACACAAACAAAAGAAAACATGTCCGGAATCGCTGTTGCTCGACTTGGTGAAGAAAGAAAGGCATGGAGAAAAGTTCATCCATTTGTAAGTGTTTTTTTTTCCATTCCAATTAAAGTATGCAATTTCTAAAAAAAAATGATTCATATACAGGGTTTTGTAGCACAGCCGACAAAGAATCCAGACGGCACGTTGAATTTGATGGTTTGGAATTGCGCTATTCCCGGCAAAAGAGGGGTAATTATAAATAATTTCATTTTCCCGTACAAAATAGTGAAAAAAAGATTGTACAAATGAAATAAAAATATTGCAATACGATACCACCAAGAAACAATGGATTCGGATGGAAACATGGCAAATACGCAATATGGTGCAATACAATCTATCTAGCTGTTTATCGTTGACTTTCAGTGTACATATACAAAATACAAAGACGTATATGTGTGTGTGCTATAGCTTTCGATCTCGTTCTCTCCTATATGAATCAAAGTCACACGATCGATTTCCGTCTTTGTTTAAACATAGCGCATAACGAACGTTCGTTCTAGTGTTTTCGAATGAATCGTTGTTTTGTTTTGTCTTTTTGTACACATTTTTTGTTGATTCCGTTAAATTTGCGCCTTTTACAAAATTAAATTCGCCTTTTGTTTTTCCCATTGGACTAATCAGAATTTGTGTGTTTTTTTTTTATTTTCATATTTGTATTTGATAGACTCCATGGGAAAATGGTTCGTACAAATTGCAAATGGTTTTCAAAGATGATTACCCGATCAGTCCACCAAAGTGCAAATTCGCACCGGCTCTATTCCACCCGAATGTCTATCCATCCGGCACAGTATGCTTGTCACTGCTTGACGAGGAGAAGGATTGGCGTCCTGCCATAAGCATCAAACAGGTTTTACTTGGCATCCAGGACTTATTGAACGAACCTAACATTGATGATCCAGCCCAGGCCGATGCATATGTTTGCTATTGTCAAAATCGACAAGAATACGAAAATAAAGTTCGTGCCCAAGCTCGAGTTATGGCCACTGAATAAACATCACCTCACCAACAATATCATCAATTCGATCAAATGAACACTTATTTATACACGCGACTACTAACGGCTGTAATGCAAAAAAAAAAACATTTCCAAATCATTGCAATATACAAAAAATCACCTCAACCAATTCTACAGTTTACGTCTAATTTTGATGCACTAAAAGGATGAAAATTAAAACACACGCGCACACACACACACGAAAATAGATATAAAAAATATGAATTTGATTCAAGTCAGTAATGTCAAGTGGCAATGAAAACACAAAACAATTGAATGAATACAATGTGGATGATAGGAAAAGAAATAAAAATTAATCGCTAATATGAAGAACAAAATGATAAAATGGAAACTCAATCTTGACTTTATCTTCCAATCACAATTTTCCGGCTCATTTTCTTCATTTCAGATTTAACTTTGAGTTCTCTAAGATTAATTGTGACATTCATTTTATATAAAATAGATACACAGAAACAATATATTTTTGTTGTCATTTTATTGCTTGATTTAAGCTATTTCGTTGGTTATTTCAGAGAAGAAGAAGAGATGTAAACCATTGGAAGCGATTCATTTGTCCAAAGGTAAGGAAGAAAAAAAGAAAAGAACTATTCAAGTAATCAAAATATTTCAAATTATATTCTTTAAAAGTGTGAATCATCAGGATGATCAAAAAATACTTGTTTACACATAAAAATCGAGCACATACTATAAGCAAACTGAATTTGAACGATTCCTCGCGATTTTCACTTTCGGTGAATTTTAGGTTTCTCTGTTGTGTCCATTCAACACGTCATAATGGTGCAATGCCGATGATAATGATAATGGAATATATCTCAAGTGATCGTATTGCAATGTGTCATTTAAATGACTTGGTTCAATGGGTTCAGAATAAATGGATTCCCCCCTTGGTTCCACTTCCTCATAACGTGTGCATTAGCTGTATTGAGAGTTTTGTTCACATTTTTGATCGAGTGTTTGCATTTGATTATGCATCGAATTGAATTCAATTGGTTATTCAGTTTTCGGCGATTGTTTAAAATATCGAATCCAAATAGTGAGATGTCAGATGACAGTAATAGAGCCAAACATTATTGTATATTTAACAAAGTTGTTTTCAGCGTTTTACACTTTAACTTCGGCCTACTTTCTATCTCCGGCGACTGTTTCGGTGAAGTGTCTCGATCAAACGAAATTCAATTCAATGAAATAACAAAGCTTGAAACTTTCAGAACATTGGAAATGTTTATATCCAATTGAATTGGGCCAATTCATTGGCTACCAAATTTAATACTTCCAAACAGTTGAAATTGGCGGTTAAGAAATGAGTAAATGTGATCGATTGACTTTATTTTATCCGGATGTTTGAAAGCAACAAAATTATAACTGGACCGTACACCTGTATTGCATTGAACATTATTTTGTTTACAATTTATGCACATTGAATTCATAAAATAATTATTAAATCGAAAATTATTGTCTTGCAAATTGTTCCGTTTGAATAAAGCTCAGTGGCAAATAAGTATGCGAACAACTTCATTCTGTCATGTCAAATTAGAAAACCAGCACAATCAAAATTGTGTGAATATCGAGCGGATGATCGAATTGTGCTGATTCATTTCACTAAATACAGTTCCATATATGGAGTGAGAACAGATTTGAGTCATAACAAGGCAGCAATTAAAAGAAGCAACACACGTCTCTTGCTCCAAACAGTGAATACATATGTTTTATATTCCTGCACAAGTCAATTGGAAGGTGAGTTATGGGAAAAGTACAATTTTACATTGCAATAGGCACAACTTGAGAAATTTGAAAACAAAAAACCTGCAAAAAATTCAATAGAGTAAAATAAATTGAACCAAAACTGTTCGATACAATATTGTTTATTAGGGTATCAATTTCGAAAAAATCGTACAATAAATTGGTACAGAAAAAAGATCCAGATTAAATGTCTGATTGCAAGTATTTTGTGGTTCTGCAAATTTTCGCTATTTTGGGTTGGTTCCTTGTGATAGTAATTTTATCTAGAATTTTTTGTTCAGGCATTTTTGCTCCCTTTGTGGTTTGCATTTTTCTTTGGAATTTTCCATGACGTCATTTCATGGTGGACGCCTTGCGACATTCAACACACATTCATGTCCATGTATTGTATTTCGTGTGTGTAACAAGTGAGCAACAGACATGAAGTATATTGGTGTATGTTTTATGCATTATAGTTGAGGTTATGTTCTGCAAAAGAACACTTGACGTGGTTTAGTATCCATAGATTGAATTTAACTTTAAAATAAAGTAGATTTCAAAAGTTGACATTAATTTTAGTGGGAGTTTCTCATTTGTACAAAAAGCCATACCTTTTGGAATCATATCATTTCCCCAATTTTGTTTTTATTTCATGCCAGCGCCAAGAAACAATGAATCCGCATCGAAACAAAGGAACTTTGGGTGGAAGAGCCAAGAAGCACAAATGCAAACAAAAGCAAAAAAAAGTGGAAATCAAACAAGAGCCGGATATAAAGCAAGAGCCAAGTGACGGTGCTTATTTGATTCAATACATGCCGTCATCGCCCCAAACCACAACGAATGCAATCATCAAGTCGGAAAGCGAGAGCGATAGTGAGGTTGATTTGGAAACTAAGCGGAGTTATATGAAGAAAGAGGTCAAAAGCGAAGACGAGTGTTCGAAGAAGGAATGTGACGCGACAAAGGATGGAGATGGAATGACAAATGATGACCAGGTTGGTGAAAGCTCAAATGCTCCAAAACGATATTTGAATGGCGATCAGCACAAAAAACGACAAACAAAACGAAAGAAGTCAAAAAACGCCAAGAATGGCAGCGTGGCTAAAACTACAAAATCATCGAAGCATCAGAAGAAACACAAATGTAATTTCTGTCATTATGTGACATCGAAAAAATCAAATCTAACAGATCATATTCGTACCCACACCGGTGAAAAGCCGTTCGCATGTGAAATATGTGGCAAGGCTTTTACACGAAAGGATCATTTAAATGGGCATAAGAAAATCCATGCACCAAAACATCCATTCTCTTGTTTGAAGTGTCGACGTGGTTTTGCAAATAAAATCGATAAAATCAACCACGAAAGCGAATGCAAACATCCTCAATATGCATGTCATTCATGCAAAAATGCCTTCCTTCATTTGAAATCTCTCAAGCAACACATGCGAAACCACAGTAGTAAGAGACAATTTAGATGCCGTGTTTGTGCTAAAACATTTACCCGCAATGATTATCTTTCCGCTCATTCACGCACTCACATCAAACAACTTCCATTTGATTGTGTTCGATGTGGTCGAAGATTTGCCGATGCAAACGAGAAACAATCGCATGAGGATCATTGCAAATGCCGGCGATACGATTGTTATCTTTGCCCTTTCAAAAGCTTTCGAAAATATCAATTGAAGGTGCACATGCAAGTCCATCACACTGGCGAGAAACAATTTAACTGTGGTATTTGCGGAAAGAAATTCGTTCGAAAAGATTATCTCAAGCAGCATTTGGAAACACATTCAAAACCACAACCATCCCGTTGCTCCAAATGCTTTAAATCATTCGCAAAAGAAGACGATAAGAATGCACATGAAGAACGCTGCAAGCATCACCTTTATCAGTGTTATTTATGCAGAGTTTTAAAGCATCAATCACAAAATTTAAAACTTCACATGCGAAATTATCACACTGGCGAAAAGCCATTTCCATGCAAACTATGTGACGGTCGTTTTTCGCTACTTGGTAGCGCTAATAAACACATGGAAAAGGTACACGGTTTTAAAAAATGATTACAATAGTATTTCATCTCAAAATCAATTCATATAAACGTTGATTAGCAGCAAATTATCAAAATCCGATTTTCTAATTTAGAAAAATATTTCTATGTCTAAAAAAGATCAACACATGTCAATTAACTTTTTCTATCTTGAATTTCACCTTCGATCAAGCTAGAGAATAAGATATGAAACTTTTAATATCAAGAAATTGAAGAAGCAAAAGAATAACAATATATTTGATTGCCAAAATCGACAAATCAAGTTCATTGTAATTCCTTTCTATGTTTTTGCGCAAAATAAACGAATCTATTTCCATGAAGAAATTAAAACTTCAAGATTTTTTTTTACCTTTATTTTTTGGATGTACTATATAAAATTATTTTTATCAAAGTTTCCATATTTATGATTAATGGACATGTAAAATTTATCAAAATGTTCCTTGGCTCTTAAGCATAAATGATCGAATTCTTGTTTCCCGAGTGCTTCGACCATCTTTCGGAATATTCCGTTCTCATTTGACATCAGTAAATGCGGTGCATCAAGCTCAGCTGCAGCACCCGCATCCATAACTAAAACTCGGTCAGAATCGATAACTGTATTGAGTCTATGCGCCACGGTTATAACTGTAGAGTCCGTGAACTTCTCTCGTATCGTTTTCTGAATCATTTCATCCGTTCTGAAAGAAACACAGATGATGTCAGATGATACATTTGAACATAAAATCCCCTAGTACGTCATTACATGAGTAGCCCATTTAAAAAGCGTCAAGGTATCTATTACTTGTTCTTCTTAAAAAGAATGAAAATATAAATGAGTCTTACCGAAGATCAACGTTGGCTGTCGCTTCGTCAAGAATTATGATGCGGCTCTTTCTCATGATCGCCCGAGCCAAGCATAAAATCTGTCGTTGTCCCGTGCTAAAATTCTGTCCATGTGCCAGAACCGGCATATCTAACCCGTTATTCTTCGATACGAGTTCTTTCAGCTCAACCATATCAAGTGCACGCCAAATTTCCCCGTCTGAATACTCTTCAAATGGATCCAAATTCCTGCAATTCAAACAAATCATGACATTTTATCACTTTTTTTCTTAATAAATGTTCGGTCCGTCTACCTTCGTAATGTCCCTGAGAAGAGAATTGGTTCTTGCGGTATAATTGATATTCTCGATCGCAATGTACTCAAACTAATCAAAGATGTATTGACATCATCTAAAAGTATGTCGCCTTCTTCGATTGCCAATCGATAAATCGAACTGATTAACGATGATTTTCCAGCTCCAGTTCTACCAACAATACTGAATTTCTCTGAGGGTTTTATCGAAAATGATAGTCCACGTAAAACTGGTTCATCGTCAGCCGAATATCGGTAGGAAACATTTTTGAACTCAATTTTCCCTTTGGATGGCCAGTCGGATGGCACTTTTTGTGGCACTTGTGGCTGTTTTTCAGGTTTCAATTGACTGTATTCTAAGATTCGCTCAACCGATGTGAGTTGATTTATTACATCGGCACCTGGAAATAAGGGACACAAATTATGACTCAATTCTTGTTAATATATCACACCATTCGCAACGGAGACTAAAGCCGAATTGCACACTTGATGATTTGTAATTTATTAAATACTTGCTTTGTCTAATGCCAGATTGAAGTGAACCCAATAGACCAAGTGTTTGTGTTATCGCCAAGCCAACTCGATCTCCAGTTACTCCTATATCAATGAATTATTTCTAAATTAAAGAAATGAGAGTACAGGTACTATTTGGCACCAACCTTCATTGACCACCAAGAAAATGTAAATGACGATGCCGACGAAGATATATACCAGCAAATCTAAACAAACACCAAATCCATACGATGCGCCAATAAACATGAACCAAGTGCCCGTATTGAGATTTTGATGTTTTTCGAATTCATCTTGCAACGCCTTTTCGGCTTGAAATGCTCTGACTATCGGCAATCCGTTCAATGTAGCCGAAATGTGGGTAAATACGGGAGATTTTGCTAGAAGATATCGAATCATTAACATCATCTTTTGTTAAACGTATGCAGAGCCTTATGTTATAGGCACTGCGGAGGTGCGGACACTTTTCTTATAAGTTTTTATTGTATTCAGAACAGAGACTGTTTCTCAGAGCAATATATGTCACACTTATAATATGTGAAGTGGAGCGCTCTGAGGAGCTGGCGGTGCTTTGAGGGGTGAGGCAGTGAGAAGCAAAGTATTAAAACTTAAAGGAATATCCAAAATCATGACGTTATTTGTCTTTATCGATTTTTTGCTCTTCCGTGCTAACTCTCAGAGCGCCTCCTCTTCACATTTATTGATCTGAGAAACAGTCACTCAGATGCTGCATTTGAAAATTTATAAGGAATAAGTACTGGTACCCGCACTTCTCCGGTACCAATAACACCTCGGCATCGTGGGGCACGTTTTTACTGTTTTTACATGTATGTACTTAAGCCTTACTTATCCCTTCCAAGCGTTTAATATTCGTGGAACACTTCAAGTACAATTTTCGAAGCCAAAAGAATAAGACGATCAGTACCAAAATGACGACGGAAAGTTTGACATCCGTAAAAATAGTGACAGTGATCGATCCGAGTGAGAGTAAGATTATTTGAGTTGCTTCCAATAGTGTTATTGGTAGCATTTCATCTGCACTTCCCATGTCTTTTGTAAATCGATTCATCACCCGCCCGGCTGGATTCTCATTGAAAAACTTCATATTAGTCGAGATCAGCGCGTGAAACATTGTGTCGTGCAAATTTTGTGACGCCTTCGTACACACCAAAGAGAAGAACACGGATCGAAAAATAGCTACCAATAACAATGCACACATAATTGCACAATAAACATATGCGTATACATCAGTTGCCTACGGTTAATCACAAAGAAAAGAATGGAAATAATGGAAATTAATCAATATGTAATGGAACGTAATGGAAGTAATGGAAGAGCAAAGTAATCGTCACACATTTGCAACAAAATTGCTTTAATTTGAGATTTGGTAATAGTGTTAAGAATCGCGTTCTGTTGTGGAAGAATAGAACTACTACTACTACCAAATCTCAATTTTCGTCAGCAAAATGTTTGCTAGCGCAGCTTCGTTCAATTCATTTGCAAATTGTTTTTAATTTATGTGTGTATATGTGTGTGATCCAACCCTTACTACTTTTTTACATACTAAATAGATTTTGATATTGTGATTTTTTGAAATGGATGTAATGGAAAAATAATCGAAAGAATGGATAGCCTTCTTCAATAATAATGGAATAGTAAAAAGGAGTAAAGTAAGTATACCTCATCAGCTTCCCATAAAGTTGGCTCAACGGGAGATGTTTGGTTGGATGTATTCACTGAATTCACACGGTAAACACGACTTTCTTCGATTCTTATCCTGAAATCGATTAGAATTGTCATTTATTTTAATAAATTTGATAAAAAATATTTCAAATGAAAATTTACCAATATGAAACCCATATGTCGGCAGTACTGGCAATCGCTTGAGTGATTAGAAAAAGTGTGCACAAAAGAGCCAAAGCGCATGGAACTTTTGATGATTTGATATAATTTAGTATAAGGGATCCTTTGATTTTTCCTTTTGACGATGCTTCCAGTTCTTTCGTGAATGTGATCTCTTTGAAAGGCATCGTATTTTCTCTGAAGAAATCTGCTTCATCGTCGGAATTGGCTAGTGAACTCTTACGATTTTGCATCAAATCCAAGGATCTGTTACCATTTACGATGGAGTCATTTTCATTTCGCTTTAATATGCTGTTAATGTCAAGGCCATTCATTAAAACCGTGTCATAATTTCCCTGCATTTCAATCTTTCCCTGGAAGCAAAAAACATTTTTTTTCTTATTAACGACAATCGACATTTCAATCGAAAATTGGAGTCAAGCCGTGCTGAACGAAATTGAACAATCAAAAGGATGAAAAATTGTATGTACTACGATGCAGAGCTTGCCAAATGGACGATTTTTTTTAGGTCGACCTCATTGAATCTTCGAATATTGTTCTTAGAGCTGATCCGATTCCGAAACGAACTCGCCTGAAACAGATTTCGATCGGTCGGATTGGCATTCAGGAGGCCAAAGTCAGACCCGACCGATCAAAATTTGGAGTGCGCCCGACCCCGACCGAACTCGATATGTTTCTAAAGGGTCTCGAGCGGACATCGCTCTTGGGCGGGTATTTTTTTGCGGCGAAAGAGGCGACGCAATAATAATATTTTGTACATATTTCAGTGAACGCGTCACTGAAAATTTATATCAGAACATTCTGTCACACTGGGAACTTCGAAAGAAGTGTTTTGTACTTATTACTTATTCGTATATGAAAAGATCTTGTTAAATATTGAAATGATTGAAATTATATAAGTTGTTTACGTCTTTAATCACCACAATCCAATCTGCTTTCTTCATGAAATGCAATTGGTGTGTTATTAAAATGCGTGTGGCGTTTTGTCTTGCCAAATATCCCTTCGATCCAACGCATTTATTGAACAAATGTGATTGCACGTGAGTGTCTACGGCACTTAACGGATCATCGATCAAATAAATATCCGCTTTTCGATACATGGCTCTGGCCAAGCTGAAATTGAAAGAAATTTAACCACGATGGTTTCAAAAACGAGCAATTCTCTTGCAAAAAAGTCAATCTTACTTGATTCTCGCCTTTTGTCCTCCAGACAGCCCCGTCCCATTTTCACCGACACACATTAAATCACCATTGCTAAACTGTTCAAAATCTTTCGTCAAAGCGGCACATTTAACAACTTCATCGTATCGTGACCGATCCATGGGTTGTCCAAACGTGATATTTTGTCGAATTGTTGATGTAAAAGTCCAACTAACTTGACTCGCATACGAAACCGTTCCATTGATTCCCATCGAACCATCAACCAAAGGTAGTTCCTTTAATAAAACTTGCATAAGCGTTGATTTGCCACTTCCAACCGATCCGACGACAAAAATCAATTTCCCTTTTGGAACTTTTAAATTTATTTCTTCAAGCCGAAATGGTGGACTCGACTTGATCTCCGTTTCATTTTCGTGGGAACGATTTTCAATCAAACTCCATTCAGCGCAGGCATTCTCCAATAAAATGGACAAATTTTGAGAATTCAATTTATTAGAACTTATGGTATTTCGTCCATTTGTTGGTTCATCTTTTTCCTTGTAGTCAAGAAACGTTTGCAAACGTTTAATAGCAACAAATCCTTCGCTTACAACCGAAACACTTCGAATAAAATGTAGATTTATTGAATATGAAATGACATTGAATAAATATGCCGTCATAAACAATTTGGAAACGGTCATATTTTCTCTGCCATACAACCAAATAACCGACAGGACGGTGAAAAATAAGGCGATTCGATTGGAAAAAAGGAATACGGTTAGATTGAATGCACGAACATAGATGTTTTTCAAAATCACTTTCAGTTCAAGGCGTCGGGCCGTTGCGATTAGACCTTCGAAGGGTTTTTCCCAATTGTACATTTTGATCACTTGAATGCCGGATACAATTTCATCCATGAAACGTACTCGTTCATCTGTTCGCATCGCGGTTTCGAATCGGATCTTTGTTAAGAATTTGGCGACGTAACCTAAATAAACGGAAAATTTAGATATTATCCTATTTGTTTAATGAAAATGACCGAAAGATCCAACGAATACCAAAAAAACGCTGAAGCAAACGTAAAATTAAACATTTTTCGGTATTTTTCCATGGTTTTGATATGTTGGTTGGTTTTTTCGGTATATTGGTGCTAAAATAAGTGATGAGTACTTGCTTTGAATAGGCATCAAGACAAAAATAATAGCCGTTCCAATAATAGCCGCCCATCGAAGTTCCGTCCATAAAATATATGCAGCCAAAGATGATGTGATCGGACCTATCCACAATGGATGCAAAAAATGCAGAGTTTCAAAGCGTTGAACATCGTTTGAGAGTAAATTCACCAATTTTCCAGGAGCTGTACTGCTCAAAGCTTGCTGTGACAATCGAAGCGTCTGCATAAAATTAAACGATTTTATTACTTTTTCATGCGTTCCAAAATGGGTGCAAAAATGCGGAAAATTCAAAATTCACACACCTTTCGATAAATGAGGCTTGAAAGAGCGATGCGAATTCTCATACCATAGCGAAAGCCATTGAAGTAATAATGAAGAAAGCCGAACTCAGAAGACATACTGAGAATGAAAAGGCCAATACCGTATTTTGTGGCATCGTCTCGCGATACATCGGAATTTTCTCTGCAAAAAATGTGAAATTTTACACTTAATATAAAGGTTGTTTTACAGATGAAGGTCCAAAATTGATGAACCTGTTTTTTTCGCACAAACCGAAAAAATGCTAAAAGTCTCTCCAATAAATATGCCGTGGACAAACTACATACGCAATTTGCAAAAGCGTAAAGAAATCCCAAAATAAGCACCTCACACCAAAATGTTTTAGATAACGCTCGCAATAAAGATGGTTTCAGTTTTGTGGTTACTTCAATATTCCAGTTTCTGAAGAAAAAAATTCATAGTTTTTCCCCACATTTTTTTTTTGTCAATAATTAAAGTTATTGATACAATCATACTTTTCGAGTCGATCACCCAGTGTGTCAGAGCGATCTTCATTGAGTGGTTCGAATGCATCTTTGGCATGTAAAATATCACGGTAGCTCCTTTTAAGTATTGCTATTGACCATCCAAAAAATATCACTGACAACCAGTTTGCAGATTGACGTGGGTTCTGATTGACAGATTCATTTTCACTCAAACCTATCAGATTTATTGAAGTTGAGATAATAGATGATTTTGATTGCAACAAAATTACGTAGACCAATAAAAATATCATGAGAACTGATAACGAAAAATAATAACTATGAAATAACACGAAGCCGGTTCAATTGAGACATTTTTTTGACGTTGATAAGTTGTCGAAAATCGACTTCATTTACATTTATGTTAAAAGTAATGTAGAAAGTTATAATACAAATTTACAGTAAAACCTGTGTGGATGGGATCGCCTGTGGATGGGATTAAGTGGAATTGTTTCGTCTTTTCTGGATTCCATTTTTCACAAGTTTTACTTAACTTTAACTTTTCGCAAAATATCACACTATAAAAATGTAGCCACAACAATGTCAAGGTTCAATCGATAAATATCGATGGAAATGGGGAAAATACTCAATTTTCTTGAGGTTACGATTTCACAATGATTACAGATTTTTAAAGAAACTATATATCTATTTAATGTCAATCGATTTTCAAAGTGTTTCAATTGAATGATGTACAGTGACAGAGTTCCTAACATCAACTGGATATAATTAAAAAATCTCAAAACGCCGAAACACAAAATCAGTCATAATAATATGAGCAAAGATAAGTTTTGATAAATAAACAGCAATAAACCTATTTAGTACTACTTTCGATTTCAACAAATGAATCGTTTTAAGATTTTTTCTTATCGTACTTTTTTATTTCTTTCATCATAAACGTGATTTCGTATTGCGTAATAGTAAATCAAACAAACCCTTTTTATTACATTTAAACAGTCTAAAAAGACTTTAGGAGACCTTGAGACAAATCTGATGGCATAACAAGTCAAGGTATTGTAAAGTTGGACAATCATGTATCTTGTAGAATTTTTTTTATTTTTTTTTTTAAATAGTCCGTTGAATATAGACACATTAGAAACAAAAAACTATTGTTGACTTTTAATACATTAAAAAAATATATATACATAAAGTGATCAGTATTTGTACAATGTACAGGATACAGCAGTATACCAACACTACCCGTTCGAACAATTGGCGCCTTTTTTGAAAGGCGCACGCACCATTTCTGCGCCTTTTAATGAAATGACGAGAAAAAGAATAAACAACACATCGTATGACTCGTATATAAACAGCGTGTACGAAAAATAGCATAGTAGTTCATTCGATTTTTTGTATGCTAAAATGCTAAGACCATACTACTTCTTCTTCGTTTGAATCTACATTCTGCGGCGAAGATCCGCACAAAGAGGAACAAAAAATACCAAAAATCAAATGAATCTGCGCCTACTATGCTGTTTTTCGTACACACTGTTTATATACGAGTCATACGATGTGTTGTTTATTCTTTTTCTCGTCATTTCATTAAAAGGCGCAGAAATGGTGCGGGCACCTTTCAAAAGGCGCCGATTGTTCGAAGGGGTACTAATGAAAAGTAAAGCAAGCATCTTCGCCCAATACAATAACAATTTTGCTCTATAAGTCACAAAAATAAAATAATTTATCAACTCCGACCCCAAAAGAGTTTTTTCGCATGTACAGTGTATTTCTTGGACTCTGTTACAATACTTTTGCATTACACACTGGGAAAAGTGAAAAAAGAACAACAAAAAAAAGAATTGGGATAAACAAACGACAAGGAAAGAGAGAATATAGTCAAAACACACAGGTAAAAAATGCGAATACCAGTAAGTGCTATTTTTATTTTAAAGCTGGTTATTTTGCACGGTCATTGTATTGGTTCGACGATCACATAATATATTTCGAATGCAGCTCGGACACAAGTTCAAATATTCAGTTAGAAAACGAAATTCAGTGTAAGATGTTTGCATTTTATTTGAAAGGAATTTAGGTTGTTTTAAAATTTAACAGGAACTCTTTATTATTTTAAAAGTGCAGTGATTACATTGGGCTAAGATTGGTTCACGCTATTTTGTATGACATAAAAATATATTGTGTAAATAGCAACCTATACACAAATAGGACAAGATATTTAGCAACAAATAGGAGATTTTTTCATGTCTTAAGACCTGTAATTACAAAATAGCCCAATGACTGAAAAAGTGTTTGTGATTTTTATTGCATTCAATTTCACTTTTCTGTACAAAAAACACACACACAGGGAATTTGGTGAAGAAAGTTTTTTATGTGACGTCACACCTCGTGTGAGTATCAAACTTTTCAATCTGTTTCCAAAATATAATTTATTAAATAAATTTGATAAGTGCGCAGAGTCGTTAAATAGAAAAAAAAATGAAATTATGTGGCTGAAGAACGTCTAGAATCTTAATGAAGTGCACTTATGTATTTCGGTTTAAGTTGAAGATGGAAAAAACCCGTGATTGTGAAGTCACCTTTTTATTATTTGGTGCAAATAATTCGTGTTCAAACCAATTTCTGGTGTAAAAAAAATAGTTCAAAATATATGTCTAGACCCCAGACGTTATCTCTATAATTTTAAATGCATAGTTTGAGGCGGGATCGCAAATCAGATTCAATATAGTTCTGAAACTAGTTTTATACGATATCTCACAAATAGCTACGTCATTCAAGTTCGGTGACCTCATCACTTTCGTTTAGTCTCATATCTCATCTTACAATTATTATGAATGATTAAAAACGTTTTTTACCTTGCTTACTCCCTCTGTTTTTAAAACGAGTTTTCAATTCCATTTCAGCCCATTCTTCTACATTGTTGACAAAAAAAAATTGCGTTTGTTATTGTGTTTTGTTTGAAGCGATGAAGTCATCTGTTGCATTATTTGTGAGCGCTTGTTTCGTTTCGGTCAGTTGTTCTTCAGGTAAAATTATTTCTTTTTGCATACATTTCCGATTGAATTTCGAAACAATCGTAAACATGTACATTTCTGCATAAATTATAGGAGTTCGCCTGAAGCGATCCGATGCCAAGTGAGTGGAATTTCGATTATTTTACCATTTTTTTTCTAAAAATAATACAACAGTGCAACCTTTATATTTTAGTGAATCGTGGATTGAACTACACAAAGCTGCCAATAGCGGTGAGTAAATATTGCACTATTTCAAAAGAAAATTTATTGATTAAAATTCATTAACCTTACAGGTAATTTGCAACAAATGGCAGACTTACTAAAAAGCGGAATCGATATTAATGCGACTGATAAAGATAAATGGACACCGCTCCACATTGCCGCACGAATTGGTAATGAGAATCATTTTTCAATTTCTTTTTGAATGAATTACTATTACAAAATAACGAACCTAGGTAACGAAAATGTGGTGAGACTTCTCATTGAGAATGGAGCTAACGTGAATGCTAAATCTGGAAATAGTCGTACACCTCTTCATGAGGCATCTTTCCATGGAAAAATTGAGGTCGCTAAAGTGCTGATTGAGAAAGGAGCTGAAGTGAATGCCAAGGATATTGGAGATTGGAGACCTCTCCACCTCTCTGCACAGGATCCAAACATACGAAGTGGTAATGGTTCAATTTCGAATCTCATGAATAATACCATTTTGATCTGATTGAATCGATTCACAGGTAAAGCCGAGGTTGCAAGGCTCTTGCTCGAGAATGGAGCCGATTTGCATGCTGTTGATAGAAAATTCAAACGCACGGCAATTTTTGAAGCAGCAGTTTATGGTATCTATCAAGCTATTCTCACTCACGATTTACGATTTCACATTCATGAATATTGATTTAATGAATTTTTAGGTCAAGTGGATGTGGCACGAGTGCTGATTGAGAAAGGAGCTCGTGTGAATGATGAAGATAACTGGAAATACACGTGTCTCCACGTCGTATCCCAAATGGCTCATTTGAAAAAGGGTATTTGACAATTTCACAACAAAATTTTCGGAACCACATTTCAAGGGACTTTATCTACATACTAACTTAGGCAAGGGAGAGATCACAAGACTGCTGCTGGAAAATGGAGCTAACGTTAATGCTGTAGATGGTGTACACCACCGTACACCGATTTTTGATGCAGCTGTGAATGGTAGTTACATTCTTTGTCGATTTAAAATTCCGAACTTTTCATTTGATGAAATTTCAGGACAATTTGAGGTCGCTAAAGCGCTGATTGAAAACGGAGCTGAAGTTAATGCCAAGGATATTGGAGATTGGACGCCGGTATTCATTTACAAAACAAAATGGCTTAAATCCGCATTCCAATATATTATTTCTAAATTTTATTTTATTTTTAGTTGCATGGATCGGCACAAAATGAGAACATTAAAATTGGTATTTATTCAATATTTTGTCTCTTTTTTTGTTGATCACTATATTTTTTCCACATCAGCGAAAATATCAGTGAATTAGTCAGTTTCGTTTGAACTTTCGACCATGTTTACCATTCAGTTTGCTCTGTTCCACCGATAATTCGGTGTTAGCTGCCTTTTTTCTTTGAGTACCCAAAAACCTTTTGAATAAAATGTTTTTCATTTGATTGAATCGTTAGGTAAAGCCGAGGTGGCTAAACTTCTACTTGATAATGGAGCCGATGTTAAAGCCATAGACAAAACTTATAAACGAACACCGGTAAACTTATAAACGAACTTTAAACTTATTATAAAATTATAAACTTATAAACGAACACCTAAACGCACAGCTTCACGAAGCTGCAATATACGGTCACGCGGGAGTTGCTGAAGTTATGGTCATAAACAATGCTGACGTGAATGCTCAAGATTACGAGAAATGTATACCTCTCCATTTAGCGACTCAAAATTGGGTGAAACGAGATGGTAATTTTGAGTATACATTTTTACAAACATTTTAACTCTCATTTATAATTCATGGATAATTTCCAGACAAAGTAGAAATCGTCAAGGTTCTGCTAAGATATGGATCTTATGTAAATGCCAAAAGTGCCAATGGCAGAACACCGCTGGTTGAAGCCATTAACAATGATCAAATCGATTCGGTCAGAGTTCTGCTCGAAAACAGAGCCGATGTTAATGAAGTTGACAACGATAACCGGGTGCCTTTGCATTTTGCAGCCGAGAAAGGTTGGTATTAAGAATAAATACATGTTATGAAATTTTAAGGGAACCGAACTAACTTCTGAAGTTGGCAATTCAACTAGGGATCAGTTTTAAAATGTCTTCTTCAAATGTTAGGGAGTAATTTTCTTTCAACGAATGTGAAAGACAACTCAACTCTTTTAAAGCTGCTTCACGGAATATCAGCCCGTAGAGTTCACTGTGAACTTTCGTGCATCTAATGCATTTGTTTGTTCACAGCCATACACAGTCAAAGAAAGTTCGCACAAAAGAGAATGAAACAATTACATATGGCTACTTGATGTTTTTTGAACACGTCGCAGTGAATTCTACTACTGATATTCATCTAAGCAGCGCTGATGTGCCGAGTGTACACAAAGTGTGAATTCTTCTAATACGGGTAGTAAAAGTCGTATTGGCTTTAAATGAGAAATAAAATAAAATATTTTCGAAGGGGGTAACTTCAATACCGTTTTGCAAGGGTAGTCCGACCCCACCACAAAAAGATGGTTCACAGAAGCTATGTATTACACATAACGGCAGAGAAGACTTAGTTAAATTTTCGGAATATTTGTGCTTATTCTAAATGTATTTATTCGTCAATATTAACCTTCCAGGCAATGAAAAGATAGTAAAATTGTTACTCGGAAACGGAGCGCATAAAAGTATTAAAAACAAAAACGGAGAAAGTCCGGTAGATATAGCAATTAGGTTTGGTAAGTATGACACCCGAAATACAAATAGAATCCATCAAAATAATTCAACATCGAATCAAATTTAGGTCATTATCACATCAAAAATTTGTTCCAGTCAGATATTGTTCGATCAGTACAAGAAGGTTGGTTATGAAAACACTATTTTTCGTATATTTTTGGTTCTCAATTTATCTCGTCTTTTTAGCCTGTCAATCGTATTCTGCGGATCGTATTACACATGGCGAAATAGCGGCAGATGAGGAATTTCCGTGGATGGTAGAAACATGTCACCTCTAACAATTTCTGTGGCTCTTTAAATCATCTGCATTTTCTAAACTTTTCATTCGTAGGCCGCCTTGGGATATATTAACGAGAGAGACTATAAAATAACCTTCGATTGCGGTGGCACAATCATATCAAACAAATTCCTTCTTACCGCAGCCCATTGCGTCAAGGTGAAAATTCCCATTGTTGTGCGATTAGGAAAAGTAAGTAAAAAATGAATGCAATCTTTCAATTTGAAATTTTGAATGAATGTTATTAAAATTGAACTTCTTTCATCAGACATCTTTGATCGATAGTGACGATGAGGAAGACATAAGGGCGATCAATCGTAATATAAAGGTTTGTGTTTTATCAAAGCCTCAAAGTGTTTGGCTTATCACAAAAAATTGACTTTGTTTCTAAAAGTTGCGTCAATAATTCTGTGAAATATCTTCCTAAAGAGCATCATAACCCATCCCCGTCACTCATCAATTACCAAGCAGAATGACATTGCCCTGATTCGTGTCAAGAACAAGATCACGTTCTCGAGTTACATTATGCCAGCGTGTTTACAAACGGATTTACGTGACGAACCATCAGATACGAAGCTCATTGTTACCGGTTGGGGAATTATCTCTCCCGAGAGTAAGTTGGGATTCAAATTTAAAAGGAAACGATCGATATATATATAAATAAAATTTTACAATTTAATAGAAAATATAAAATCAACAATTTTACGCAAAACGGAATTGACATCGATGCCACTATCGCAATGCAATTCTACAATGATCAATTGGAATCGTGCGGTAAATGATGCTGGCCTTCGAAATGGTCTCATTGAAGGACAGTATTGTGCATACGATCCAAATGGAAGAAGAGATAGTTGCCAGGGTGACAGCGGGGGACCACTACAATACTTCACCGCCAATAAAACGGTGGCCACTGTAGTTGGCATTGTGTCGTTCGGCGTTGGCTGCGGCAGTAGTTTGCCAGCTATTTACACTAGAGTTGCTTACTATTTGGACTGGATCGAACCAATCGTTTGGCAAAATGTTTGAAACAATATTTCACACAAAAGATTGAAATAAATCAAATAAAAGACTTTTTCCATGATTCGTGTCAAATTTGCAATGTGTTAACTATATGTGAGTTACCTTTGCTACAAGAAAAGCATTTCAAAAATATTTGATTTATTGAAAATCTGTAATAAAGATGTAAAGCTTACAAAAACAATTTCCTTTTTCAATTTTTTTTTTATATTATTTATTGGTTTATTCAGAAAAATTCATTGACACTTGTTTTCATGTGTTCAGCTAGTCTCATAAGATTTCAACATCAGTTTGAAATTACTTGTGGATTTTCATATGTTGATTGTAATTTGCTTGTTGATTGAAGTATTTTGAGCAGAATCCGCATTGAAATGGTTTAACGCCAGTGTGAGTTCGTATGTGCTGCTTTAGATTTGAGTGCTTATGACTTTTAAATTGCTGGCATAGATGACATTGATAACCACGTCGCTTACAATGACCTTCGTGATCGTCCTTTTCCGCTTGTTGATTGAAGTTTCTGTAGCAAACGGAACACTTGAATTTCA